GGAAGATGAATTACTTAAAAAGCAGACATTGCATGAAAATGTCAAGTCTGCTTATCCGGTAGTCTCCTACACCTCAAACGAAAAACTTAAAGTGGAGTTCTGGCCCCGGCCCTCCCACCCAAAAAATTAAAAGTCAGCAGCTACAAATACTGTAGCTGTTTACCTTTAATATTAGGACACTTACCTGTTCAGGGATCCAGCGTTGTCCTCACCCCGAGCCAATTCTTCAAACGACTGTTGAGTGCTGTTGCCGCTATCTTGACTAAGGGAAACAGGCAGTGATTCATAGCCAGTCACCTAGTGTGCATGGGTGCGCTTTGTGCATTAAACCACAGTCCTCTGGGACCTGTGAAGTGTCCCAGAGGGCTGCGGGGGGTGAACTTCCAGCTCAGTTCACTGTAGCAAAATGAGCTGGAGGTGGGAACAGGTACCTATCAAAACCAGGTACCTGCTTCCCCCCAATAAGTGCCAAATGTTGCAGCAGAGGGGGGGAGGCAGAGAAGCGGAGCTTCCACTTTTAGGCGGAACTCCGCTTCAATAAGAGAAAATGCATGTCTTCTTTCTTGATGTGCAGTATGACTGCACAAAACTTACTAATCCCGGGGCAGGTAAAGTAGTAAACAAATATGTCTTTTAGTGGTGTGTATATAGTTTTTTGTGTGGATTTCCACTTTAACTCATAAGTCATAAATACCCTTAGGCCTGGAGACCCTGCTAAGAAATGGACTGGAATGAAGCTGCTATTGCTATTTTTGTAACTCATCATCTTTAATCAAGTTAGATAAAAATTTTATTTTTTATTGTTTTTGTTTGTGTTTTTATTCACCATTATCCTATGGTGAGGCTTGCATTAAACCTGTGTGGGATATTTGTTGTATTATTATATCAGGTACAGTCAGGCTATTTTTAAAGACCATCTCTGGGCAAATATTATGCATGTGACATGTGAGTGCTTTGAAGTGCTGGAATGCTAATCATTGCATAATTTGTCACAGTCATTATAAGTGTGAAGTGTGCTTGAAATTTTCTCACACTTAGAGAAAACTATGATTTCCCATCTGTCAGAGAAACCATAACTTGAATAATCAAATTTAAAAAAGAATGGCTATTTTTGAGTCAATATTTTATAGATTGATTCAAATTACAATATTTATTAAAAGGTCAGCAACTTTATCCCTATTCCCATGCTAATTGAAAAGGCTTCCTAGTTGGAAATCTGCTTTTTTCTTGGTTTCCTCTGTACAGTGACATAGAGGTGTCCTTATATTACAGTCCACTTAAACAGTATATGCCATGGTAAAATTCTCCTGCTGTTGTATATACTGCTCTGTAAGCTGAAACCCAGACATTCTACATGTATTGCATTGGCGTAACACAGAAGTAAATTTCATCACCGGGTGGCTCCGTAGGTGGTAACCACACCTCCTAATTCTGGTTAAAAGTAGATGTGAAAAAGGGGCTTCTCCACGCTGTTTCATGGAAGGGTTGTAACAAAAAGGAGGATTTCTGTTGAAAAAAATTCTTGTCATTACTTGATATACCTAATGAATTCAAGAACATCTGACCTGCATATATATTACGGGTCAGTACATAAAAAATGAGGCCATTTTGTTTTACCCCTTCCCCCTCCTATTACCCTTTTCTTCCCTATATTCCTCATGGTTCTTGGTTGTCCCAGAACAGATAGAAATTGGTTCCAGAACTGTACGACTTTCAATATGTATATATATATATATATATATTATATTGATGTTATCAGTTAATGTTAATGTATTTGCTGAAAAACTTCAATAAAAAATATTTGAATATAAAGGAAAAAAAAATGAGGCCACTGAATAAGCGCACAACCACTTTTTTTCCAGAAGAAGCTCAGCAATGGCAGCACAGGTTTTTTTTTGGTTTATAGCAGGCTTACTTCCAACTGTAACCCCTCTTTATAATAGTATCCCAGGACTGGTATAATGTTTTGTGGGTGATTAGACAAAGATGCTTTCTGCTGATAGGCAGAACCTCTTTTGTACATGCCATACCATTTGCTGTCTCCAAAAATGTGGTCAGTTTTTGGGGTAAATATGTACTGCTTAGGACAAGTGTCTCCAAACTGCAGACCATGGGCCAGATGTGGCACTTTGTTTATCTTTTTCCGGCCCTTGGGGCAATATTCCTTCCATTGATAGGAGCCACTATTCTTTCCACTAACACCAAAGACAGGGCACTATTCCTCTCACTGACACCAGAGATGGGGCTACTAATTCTCCCACTGAAGAGATGGGGGAGAGAGAGAGAGGCGCCTCTAAGTGTAGACATTTTAAAAGAAAATTTATTGTAAACAAACAATTGGCAACTCACATAAAACCAAGAATCAAAGGCACATCAGTATCTGTCAAGGATGTTAATGTCTGCGGTGTTAGGTCATCCAAAATGCCATGTTTCTGTACAGTCCTGCTTAGTTCAGTTCCAAGAAGCCGGCTGCAAAATACAGTAGATCCAAAAGCAAGGACTGGAATGCTCGTGGAGCACAATGTGAGGCGTGATGACTTCACCGGATGGCGACGCAATTCCTGAGCATGTGCACTGCGGGGTGCTCTTCTTTCTCAAGCTTATGGAAGGGAATTCAATGGAGCCTTCATATATGCTTGTAGAGACCAATGCTCATGAACTTTTAAAGGGGCAACAATACTATTGCACTGGACATATTTACATACTATGAAATCAACAATGTAATGGCAGTATTGGTAATGTATTAAACGACAATAAATATCAATGTCACTTAAAACTACTCTCTTTACATAAAAACTATATCTATACAACTAATATTTAATATAAGTTCTAGTAAATATATATATATATATATATATATATATATATAGATATATAGATTTATTTACATTTTGTAGCACCTGTTCGTTCTGAACCAAAGGAGGATCTAGAGGATGCATGATATTATTGGTCATGTTTGAAAGACATGCATAATAATGTAGGGGCAAATTTTAGATGATATATATGGAAAAAAATGTATATATACAGTATAGGGAAAAAACACAGAAAGATGCTAAGGCTCACATTTATTTAAATGACTGAATTTGGAGAAAGAAAGGATTTAATCATTCAGATCGGTGTTAAAATGTATATTAAAAAAACACTATTCATCGCACTGTCAGCAATGATAGGGTACTATTCGTGCCAATGAAACCAGATATGGGGCTACTAATACTCCCACTGAGACTAATGATGGAGTTTTCAACCCACTGACACCAATTATGGGGCACTATTACTCCCACTGACACCAATTATGGGGCATTATTCCTCCTACTGACACCAATTATGGGGCACTGTTCCTCCCACTAACACCAGTTATGTAATTTTTTACTCCCACTGAACACCAAGCCTATGGCATGGTTTACTCCCACCGATGTCAGGGCATTTTCTACACCCACTGGCTACAGTCCAGCCCTTCAAAAGTTTGAAAGGCAGTAAACTGGCCCTTTGTTTTGAAAGTTTGGAATCACCTGGCTTAGGAGAATATAAGTAATTTGCAATTCAGAAGCATGTGAATCTTGTTAATCATCAAAATTGTAAAGTTGATGTAACCCCAATCACTAAAGGGCGTATCTTATTTTGTACATGCCATAACATGTGTTATATCCAAAAAGTGTGGCCGTTTGGGAGGTAAATATGTACTAATTAGAAGAATGAAAGTCATTTGCGAATTGGAAGCATGCAGTCCTTGTTAATCATGTAAAGTTGATGTAAACCCAACCGCTAAAAACTCATAGAATCCTAAATTTGTTAATGTCATTTCAAAAGTAACTTCTGAAATCTGTAGCTTTCATTAAAAATACCTGCTAATCCTGACATGAGAGTTCTTGTTAAGGCACTTTTTTTTATGGGATAAAAATATGTTTCATAATTGCTTTCCTGTGTTTTTACTAGGGAATCTGAAACAGTTTTATAAACCTAGCTTAAAGTTCCAATGATTATTATTATTATTCAGTTTGGCGATTTGTAGGTCTAAGGAACAAGTTATTGTCAAACAAAAGTCGAGTGAAGCCAGGCACTGCCACAGGGAGTATGTTAAAAAAAAAAAAAAGGAAGAATTGTCAGTGTGCCCTAACAGTTCCAGCACACATTGACAACATAGCTGCTGTCAGTCCATCCTTTTATAGAATGGGTGCTGAACTATTCATTCCTTCAAATGACTCAGGTGACCAGGGCAAAGGCACTGCATTTTAAGTTGTTCCTTCTTTCTGGTGGGAAAATCTTCAAACGTTTCTGCCAAAAGTTCTCAATTTCCAAACTTTGCAAATGCCAGGGATTCATCATGAACCCATGATAAGAACAAATCGAATTTTCTTCCACAATTGAAATGTGCTTCGGGTAGGGACTATAAGCAGCTGTGTTGTCACTAATTGCAAAGGCATATTCTGCTGCTACTACTAACAGGAATCACGCCTTAAGCACTGACATGCAGCTGCTGTTTGCAATTCGTGCATGTCGACAGAAGTGTCTGCAATAGAGTTGCAAGAGATAATCAATGCTAATATGCAAAAAATGGATGAAAAGAGGTGGAAACAGTATTTTCTACAAGAAAAAAAAACACAATTGTTTATGTTTGTCAGTCATGGTTTACATGGACTTTAATTTGAAATATATATATATATATATATATATATATATATAATAACCACTAACTAGCATGATTATACAGTGCACTACACTCCAATGCTACAGAAAGCTTCTCAGGAACTCTTGACATATCCTTTTTAGATAAAGCTTAGGCAGCAGGCTTAACAGCTTGCCGAAACATCAAATCAAAATAATTTACTAACCAGACTGTGGCCTTGGTTAGACACAACAGTCAAAACTAGCAATGGGCTGGAGATGTGGTCATGTTTTGAACAGCTTTAATTAATGGCTCTTTAGGTTTAAAAAGCGTATTGGACAGATAAAGCATTGTGGTACATTTGGTGGGGATGTTGTAACATGGAATAGAAACTTACCATTCTTCTACAACTTGGATGCTCTCCATTTTCGTTGTGTGTGCCATTCTTCCTGAATTCTCCCCTCTATCTTCATTCCTAACAGTGAGGCTGCAATGTAGTACAACACTTTATTTTGTCTAGGGAAAGTTAAGCAATTTAAACAGTGTTATTAAATACATAATTACCCAAAAATATAAAGGATTTTGCTAGGTCAGCTTGTCAAAAATATAGTTGAACAAAAAGTGTGCTAAATGGCATGAAGTGCCTTGGGACCAATTAAAAAAAAAAATTCTGAGATGATATGTCAGAGCTTTCTAAGACAAGCAAGAAGTGGGAGTTATCAGGCACCTATCTAAAATAAATTGGTCTTTAATTAAGTAAAGGGTTGAAAATGGCTTAATATGTCTTCACAACTCTGTATCTGGAATACAAGACAGATAACTGCAGCAGTTTTACAAAAAAGATTAAAATCTGAGAAAATTTTAAACTAAAGCGTATTTCCACTTTTGCTGTCAAATTTGAGAAAACCCCACTATATGTTTGTTATGTGTTCCCATTTCACACAATATTTCTTATCTTTTAGATGTTTCCATGGATATGGCCATATCTTTTGAATTTTTTTTTTCTTCCATCATGGGTGGAAGGAAAAAAAAATGGCTTGATTCCTCCATCAGTGTTGATGGGGGAATCCCTCCTGCAGTGCTATTTGTGTTCTGTCGGCGGGGAGACATCCTTGCCACAAGAATGCAATGATTAGCATTGCTGGTTGAAGCTGACTACACTAATCATTCAGGAAAAACCTGACAGGATGGTTGTACACAAATCAATTTATAGATCAACCTGGTTACAACCAGGGTGCCCATACATGGATCAAAATTTGACCGGTCCCTGCTTAACCGACTAAATTTCCATCCATGTATTGCCAACTTAAGAATTTCTAGACAGTCTCAGTGTCTCTGTTAATGAAGGACAGTCTCAACTATCCCTCGATAATATACGTATAATATAGGAGGGTGGTTTCTACATTTTTAACCCTTTGTTAGGACAGACAGTGGTAAAAACTAGTTTACAGATAATAACAGCTGCAAACACAGTACAGACAGAGTTAACTATGTCAGACATTAGAAATGGCAGAAAAAATCCTCCTGCGCTAAAATGGGACCCTAACACTCAAGCTGCTGACACTAACCTCTTACCTAAGTGATTAAAGTATGAATATATATATAAACAGTGCAGCGCTAAAATGAATGTGAATAAATATAAATAAATAATACCCCCAGTGCACAAAGGGGTTAAACTATTATCCAGTGCAACACGTGGATTGCCAACGGGAATAATGAATGTGTAAAAGTGACCAGTGTCCTCACAGACACTCAAGAAAATACCTCAAATAACACTCTGCCGTGATACATACAAAAATTACACAATATTAAATACAGCAAATAAAATGTCCATAATAGTGCTCAAAACACAATATTCATGCAAGTGCTGCTATGTGTTCACTCCGTGCAAATCCTTAGTGGCCGAAGTGCCCCCTCACCTCCTTAAATCGACCCTACAGGGTCAGCTCGCTCTGAGAATTAAGACCACTCTGGATGGCAACAGGATCCTGTTCAAATCCACTCCCAAGTACTCTGATTCTTTAATGCACCGCCCTGTCAACAGCATCCTCTCCGGATCATATACAAACAAAGAACCTCCATAGTGTAAAACCGTTTTTCATTTGGATGTAAACAGTAAAGAAAATTGCCCACTCACATGCTCCTTCTCCTTTAACACAGCTCTACTACCTCATGCTAAAGATGTATTGCACAGGTACAGGGATTTCCAATATGGCCCCCACGCCAGAAGTGACGTCACCGCGCACCCGGAAATAACTCCTCGCGTACTGACGCGTTGCGTCACGCTGGACACGTGACTTCCTCAGGGTCCCACTTGGGAGTGGATTCGAACAGGATCCTGTTGCCTTCCAGAGTGGTCTTAATTCTTAGAGCGAGCTGAGCCTGTAGGGTCGATTTAAGGAGGTGAGGGGGCACTTCGGCCACTAAGGATTTGCACGTAGTAAACACATAGCAGCACTTGCATGAATATTGTGTTTTGAGCACTATTATGGACATTTTATTTGCTGTATTTATTATTGTGTAATTTTTGTATGTATCATGGCAGAGTGTTATTTGAGGTATTTTCTAGAGTGTCGGTGAGGACACTGGTCACTTTTACACATTCATTATTCCCGTTAGGAATCCACGTGTTGCACTGGATAATAGTTTAACCCCTTTGTGCACTGGGGGTATTATTTATTTATATTTATTCACATTCATTTTAGCGCTGCATTGTTTATATATATGTCAGACATTAGTTCACATCAGTCCCCCTCCTAAACATTACAAAGCAGGGAGAGCATGTAAGGATTTTTAAGCAAGTAAAAACCACTTAAAAAAAACCAAAATAAAAAATTGCTGGTTACCTTTTTTAAGTTCTGCTATGTTAATCGGAACTTATAACAAAGTAGGTGTTAACCCAATTTGGCTGCAAAAAGTGGAAATATACTTTAAAGCTGAACTCCAGGCAAACAGCTAAACAGACAGTTGAAATACAATATTAAAGCTGTTGTACCTGCCAATGGATTGCATGTTTCTGTCCATCATCCTTTCAGGAGGTTTGCACACCCCTGCTAAACAGCAGAGTAGGGTTGGTGACCTGACTTTTCTCTACTGCTGTTAAACAGCACAGCTAAAGCCAGCCATAGATGGTTCGAGACACGGCCGGTTCAGCAGGGACTAGCTAAGATTCGAACCATCTACGGGCAGGCTGAATGTGCCCAATTTGACTGTTGTACGACTTAGGTGCAGCCAGTCAGTTGGATTTTTCATGCGATTATTGCTGGCAGCTACTGTATAGCCAATAGCAATAATCACTATGTTCTCCTAGCAGGGATGGCTACCTGCCCCCTTGCCAGGAGAACACAATAGCTCTGTGGAAGGGATTCCTTGTCAAGACTGACTGTGTAGATGGGGGAATTGACTTGAGCAATTTTACTTTCTGCAACCTGTGACTGCAGGAAAGAAAGTTGCATTGTCCATGGCCTGCCTAAGTGTACTTTATTACCCTGACCTGTGACTGAACAATGAAGGGAAAGCAGCAAATTAATTACTCATCACTCCCCTCCCTATTCTCTTGGCAGCATGTTTATTGTCATGTGCATGCAGCACACCTGATTGACACCTTGTGCTGCCCCTGCCTCTTTGGAACACTCATGCTGCATTATAAGCTAAGTGAAGTTAAAAATATCTTCAAGACCTAAGCTGCCGTACAGAAAAAATCAATCCAAGGTTCAAACTAAACTCTAAAAAATAACTTGTCAGAGCATTCGACAATGCCATCACTGAGTCAACTAATTTTTGCTTGTAGGCCCTAAAAATAACTATCCAGACCTGCAAATGAAATTCTAACTATGAATGGCCATCTTTAGAAAAATCATGTTAATTTACAGTGTATCTAAGGGCATTTGTTTTTCAAATTTTGGATAGAGTGGAGTCTCCTTGGAGATTCACCCTCTCTATTTGTCCGATGACCGTTATCATCAACATGAAAAGTGAAAGGAAGTTCCAAATTTTAAGTTGTCCGAAGAACAGGTATAAAATGGAAATCTTTCAATGGGGACATTAGTTCTGGTGACCCTGGTGAAAACAAGGAATTTCCTCATTTTGGAGGGATTTCCTCTCCTATTTGGTTGTGGCGATTAAACAATAAGTGAAGGGAAATGTCCCCAATGGGACACAGATGGCGAAAAGAAAATCTGACAGGGGTTATAACATTCCCTTATTCTATCCAAAATGAAAGTTTTGCTTTTAGTTCAACTTTAAATTTTTCATGCTATCACATGGTTGGATATTCAAACTCAGCAAAGCTTCACTTTATTCCCACAACCACATGAAGCACATTGGCACTTTTTGTGCAACTTGCTGTGCCCTGGACTGCATCTACCACCTTTTGGAAACCAAGTGAAAAAACAATGCTATCAAGTGGCTTCCTATGTGCCGACCATATCTCTGCACTGGTGTGAACTAACAGATTCCTTCACCCACACAAATGAGGTGGATAGTGGAATACACTGATCAGCAGCTGCAGCTGATTGGCTGCTGATGCTGTTCAAGAATAACATTTCTTGAATGTCAATTCAACAGAAGTTGATACAAAAATCTATTTGTGTCAAGTGGGGATGGCCACAAACTGGTCAAAATTTACCAGTCCCTGCTGACCCAGACAAATTTTGATCAGTGTACAGTATGGTCACATTAACACTATAAAGTTAGAGTTGATGTAAAGACATCAAGTCATCCTGAACGGTCTGCTTTCTAAAACATACAGTATATCAGTAACAGTGTCTCAGCAGGGGATTTTTCTTCTTCAATGAGAAGTACCTGAAGATTAGGTCTATAGCATGTGCAGGGGCGGACTGACAACTCATGGGGCCCCCAGGCAATAGGGGATCATGGGGCCCCTGTGTCCTTGCCCAAACTCAAAAAAGCCCATGAAAAAGGTACCAGGGGTATCTCATGGGGCCCCCTACTGACCCCGGGCCCTCAGGCAGTGCCCGAGTTTCCAAATGGTCAGTCCACCCCTGAGCATGTGTAAAGTAAGAGAGTGCTAAGCAGCTTCAATAGTAGATGCTAATCAGTAAAAATGTTAAGTCGTATCAAAAATCATTTTAATTAGTTAAATGCATGTGCTGTAAAATGTATTTGCTTCTAATGCTGAAGTGTTACTTTAAAGTATATGTCAACCCAATTAGTAAAATTTCATATACGCGTGAACATATTCATGTGATTGCAAAAGCCATTTCAATATATATATTTTTTTTTATTACTTGGAAATGATCCTGCAATGAAGGTCCGAGTTTAGACATTAAAACTTAAAGATAACAACGTTCTGTCCCAGTTTCCCAGTTGTACTCCTGTATTGTCAACCTGTCACATGCGCTTCCAATGGAGGCTACAAGTGGCTGTTTTAAAACACATTAGCTATCGTCCACCAGTTGTCACCATTGGAAAGCTCTCTCTTA